ACATGCAGCCGGCGCAGGCCCTTATAGGTGCCAAGTACTGGGTACATGCAGCGCGCTGTAGAGCCCCCCCCAAAACAGCACCGCACCCCTCAATCCCAGCACAGGCACTGAGCGCGAATGACAGGACAGCACATGTACCCAGAGACCCCAACAGACCCCAAACCTGCCGCATGGAAAGCATCCAATCCATCCCCCTATGTTTCCCTCCTAAGGGTCTCCGTCCAGCGCATCCATTCGCATCATCACGCGATGACTGGCAGCCGCGAGCTCTGCACCGCGGTTTCAGACGCCGCCCGCGCCTATCCTGTGCGACTCTTTGCCGTCCAGTGCTGCTTGAGCTGATTGCTTGATTGCTTGATTGATTGATCCTACGTGGCGCCTGCGATGGAGACGGAGGCCAGAGCCGGCGAAAAAGGGACCTCCACGTGACCCTTTCCAGCGTCTGCCGCCAATCGAACAAGGGACTGGAACCTGACCTGACCCGATACCCCCCCACCGACCCGTATGCGGCAGGTCACGATCCAGTCGGCTTTGGCTTGACTTTTGTCTCGTCTCTCGCCTTTCTCGTCCTGCTCGTCCTCCCTGGCCCTGCTGCTGTGCTGCTGCTGCTGCTGCTGCTGCTTGTTGCCGGCAATATCGCGCAACGAGAAGAAAGCGTCTCCAAAGGCTGCCTGGGAGTCTGCCGCCGCCGCTGCCTCCGCTGCTGCTGCTGCTTTCACAGGCTGCCGCTGGGGGTCTGTCTGTCCTTGTGTCCAGCCTAGGTCCCATCCAGCTCTTTTTTCGCCCTAGCTCCTACAGCTCCCTCCGACCCCGACCCCGACCCCCGATCCCGAACGACCGCCCTCGGCCCTTCAGCCTCGCCTCACGCCCGCCATGTCTGAAGAGGATCTCGACCTCGCCGCCCAGGACGCCCAAGGCCCCGGCCGCGTCGATCGCGACCGCCGTGCGCCGCGGTTCAGCTGGACGCCCGCCTACGAGGCCACCTTCTTCCGCAGCCTGTGCGAGAGCGTCCAGCTGGGCATGCGGGAGAACAGCAGCTTCAAGGCCGAGGCGTGGGAGCGCGCCATGCTGGCCCTGCAGGAGCACCACGGCGCCTACCCGGCTAAGAGCCATCTGATCAACAAGAGC